CATTGACACCACTATTCCATTTATAGCGGATAACCTCAAACCCACAAAATATTTATCAGATAGGTTACCAAAAACCCTTTTATTAATTTTGATTAACCATTGCACTAACGACCAATCTTCTTTCGACGACAAAATTTGAATATTTAACTATTTACTACGAAAAATACTCATTAATAGGTACTAGATAAAGTATATATTAAAACAGGGCCAAATCAAAGATAACCCCAATCATGGGCATATCCACTTCTCATGTATGAGGGTGCGCGTTCGAAACCTACCGACGTGACGGTAAGTACCAATGTGACTTTTTCCGAGTTATAATAATATGTACTTTCTAAGATTATTCAGACATCACTGACATACGGTGAAGGAAAACATTGTGGGGAAACCTAGGCTTATAAATTTCTAATTATAAGTTTGAAATCACCAACCCGCATTGAGTAAGCGTATTGATTAATGCTTAATCCTTCTCCGTGTAAGAAGAGGCTTTGATTAACAGTGGGCATTTATAGGCTGTTTATGGTTGATGGGCATATATGAAGAGATTATTGATTGCAAATGAAGCGAAAGATATACCCATACAAGAATCGAGTCCATAGTCCCATTGTGTCTGCCTATCGGGAGTCAGCGATATGCCATACGTATCTATGTAATAAATATCTTTGTTTTTATTTTAATACACATGTTGATTTTCAATTTCATAACGGTTAATAACTTAATACAGCCACTTGATCTCCTACAGAGTTAGAAAGACGTATTTTAACAATCCACCGATGCATTGTCTATGATATGAAACGAAATACAATTAATGGTTTATACAATCTATACATATAACAAAATCGTAGGAACGTGAAAACTGTACATTTAATATTTTTTTAAAAGAACGCTTGAGGCATCATCTACAATCGATATCGAAGCCAAAAATATGGTTTCTAGAATGTTTATCTGTTTGTCTGTATGTATGTCCGGTATAAACTTGAAAAGCACTGTATGTATTTACTTTAAATTTTGCATGTATATTATTAGCAGGTCGGTTCAACATATAGGCTACATATTATTACGCTATTATCTACGGAAGAGTAGCTGTGAATCACTATTCCACGCGGAAAAGTCGCGGGTACAGCTAGTTGCATTATATAAACATACAGTTACAGAAACAACAAAATGTGTACAGTCGTGAACAGCAATTGCTACTGCAGTCAACATACGCATCACAGTTGACTCGAGTTTTATTTCCAACGCATAAAAGTTATGCAATATTATAGTTGTGAGGTTGCAAGCACTTGTGTACGCGACTGTATTTAACAACGATGTAGTGGTACTAGATGTTTTATTACATTTTAATTATGGAGCAATAAAATAATTTTATTGTAATAAAGTAGATTTTTGTTCAATTTTCCTTTATTAGATTGCCTAGTCTTTAACAACCATAGTTTTGTTTGGATTTCTGGATAAAATTGTTCTTTAAAAGTTCAAATGATTTTGTAACCGTAGTTGCTTCCTGTTATCTCGAGCCATTTCATCAGGCACTATACGATGCAACGACCTTTTCTTGTATTTTATTATACGTAAACCACTTTGATAGAAATTTAGAGTGAACGGTAAGATTTCGGGGATGTAATAGTACGAGAAAAGAATTTCGTAAAGTCATTGTTAATACTTGTTATTGGGGGTTTGGATTTATCGACCAATATCTATCTATATAATCTATCTATCTATATAATCTGCTAGGACCGTACAATTTTTCTAATAAAAGTAACCTAAAGAGAGAAAACGTGAGACACTGACCTCGTTGGCCGAATGGTCGTGTACGACTGCCGGACAAGGTCTACCCTTGTCCGGCAGTCATCCTACCTTGATAACTGTTTAAGAAAACTATTGAAGTAAGCATAGCCAATGTAAAAACATATTAGAAACCTAAATCTGCATAGAAAATACCTACTTAATACATAAAATATGAAACATAACATACGTATAACATCACACCTTTTACCCCCGAAGGGGTAGGCAGTGGTGCACATTATGGCACTTAACACCACTGTACAATGTAACACCCACTTTTCACTATTTATGTTATGAGTCACATGTAATAAGGGGTGAGCCTATTGCCATATACCGGGCACAATTTCAGACTCTGTGCTACTACTGAGATTTTTTTTAAAAACCAGTAAAACTTTACCCGCCCCGGGAATCGAACTTGTGACCCCTTTAAAATATAAAACCTTTACCTATATAATACAAGCAAAAAGGGGAAATTAGAACAAACCCTGAAGCCATCACTTCCAGTCGATTTCAAATCCATGTTTATCCAGGTCAGAGCACTCAGGTACAGTTGAATACAAAAGTAGAGCGTTTTCAAATAGTTATTAAGAGTCGGAGAGCCATTGTTAGCCCACTAATCAGTTTTAGAAAACTGATACTCAATTATGATACTTATGATTGCTTTGCGATGATTCTATTTCCAATGGTTAATGAAAAGCGAAGAATAGAAACGATATTTTGATCAAGTAGAAAGTAGTTAATATAACAATGTTGATAACATAACATAACATCACGCCTTTTATCCCCAAAGGGGTAGGCAGAGGTGCACATTATGCCGCTGTACAATGTAACATCCACATTTCACTATTTATGTTGTGAGTCCCATGTAATAGGCAGTGAGCCTATTGCCATATACCGGGCACAATTCCAGACTCTGTGCTACTACTGAGATTTTTAATAACAAACATAAAAAAAATACAATCGAAATGAGAACCCCCTCCTGTATTTTGAAGTCGGTTGAAAACTCAGTAATACTTTGCCCGACCCGGGAATCGAACCCAAAACCCTTTGCCCGGCAGTCGCACTTGCGACCATTCGGCCAACGAGGTAGTCTGATGAGAGAGTAATGTTGATAAATTGTATGTTATATAGTATATTGGCACAATTTTTAATCTCCCAAGGTACAAATACAAAATGTACCCACTTTTCAACACTTTTTTTTGTATTTTTATGTAACATTCTATTAACCATAAGCGCCTATTGCTATACAGGCCACAATACCTTACCTATAGCAAGTTGGCGGGGCAGGGTTCCGATTCAAAGTAGGAGTAAGATAGGGTGGTTTTTAGTCAGTATGAGTCACTCTCTCTCGCCTTCAAGGCGGGGGAAGCCATTGAATGATGTAGTGTAGTTCCATAAATGAAACATTGCAGTCGGGTATTTGGCTCTTTAGCTTCGAATCCTGTTTGAAATCAGTAGAGGTACACTTACTTTTGTGTGTATAAAACCTAGATAGGCTATGTTTTATAATGTATGTACTTTCATTTATTCAAAGTCAAAATAATAATCTTAAGTAAATTAAGCACAATTTGGTATCAATTTATTTGTTTGTTTCTAAATGTTTATTTTCTATAGTGAAAATCGGACAACGAAACAAACTTACTTTTTTAAATCAGTTTTACATTTTAATAATGTATACATTATTTACTTGTCTTAATTCTTTTTAAGCGGCTGTTCTCACTATTACCCCTTTTGTAAAACCCTGCAAAAATCCAATTTCCTTGCAGCTAAACCACTTTATATGAAGTCTAACAAAATTATTTAAATTTTTTCACAAAACGAAATAAGATTTGTTCATACCTAGATACGTACGTATCACCTGTTCAACTATCACACGTATGTACATAGATACACAGATCTCTGCTTACAAAGAACTGGAAATGGCAAAAGTAAATCCTACCTCTATTTGCACGTTCGGATTCAAACTAAAACCAGCTGCGGCGATATTATTTCCAGTCGATTTAAAATCTACGTGGATTCAGGTCACAGTAGTCAAGTACAGGCGAGTATAAAACAAAAGCGCAGCGTACTTAAATGTGATTACTAAGAACATTTTTGTCGTGATTTATACCCTTTGTTTAATTCAACTTAATAGTTAAAAAAGTTATACAAAATATAATATCACGCCTTTATCCCCGAAGGTGTAGACAGAGGTGCGCATTACGGTAATTAGTGCCAGTAAATAATCTAGCAGCCACTTTTCACTATCTATGTAATGAGTCCCATGTAATAGGGGGTGAGCCTATTGCCATATACCGGGCACAATTCCAGACTTCGTGCTACTACTGAGAATTTTTAAAAACCTAGTAATACTTCGCCTGACCCCGGAATCGAACCCCAACCACTCGGCCAACGAAGGAGTCAATAAAGGGAAGAAAGTAAGAAATAATTACATGAAATTAACCTATTTTGGCTGTAGAAGTCGCGTTTCACGCGTTTCGTGACTTTTAGATATAATTGGTATTTTTTCAACAGTATTGTAATTATTGAATTTTGATATTTTTCCTCAGGAACTAACTAGTTCATTGATAATTCAACAAGAATCTCATACTCTCTCTTGCCTCTCCAAAGGCACAAGAAGTCTTTAGATGATCCCCCCCCCTCAAAAAAAGAGTAACGGAATGGTAGCTACTTCACCAAATACTTATCATATAAATAAATAATTATCTGCTTACGTGCTATCTACACGAATTAGTAGCCCCACAATCACCGATCAGAATGTCATAATCTACATATCAATATAAATTATTACCAAACTCAATCATTTTGCAGCCCTGACGTAATAGTAATTATCAATGAATTCTGGTGCTTTCTAAATGTAAACAGGATAACTGATGTCACTCTCCAATAAGGTTCGACTGCACGGTTGGTGGCGGTGGCTGGGCAACTGGCTGCCACGCAACGTGTACCTGGTTCGATTCCGGAACAGCTCTTTGTATGATCCACAGATAGTTGTTTCGGGTCTGGGTATAATGTGTATGTGAACTTGTATGTTTGTAAACGCACCCACGACACAGGATACTACTAATCCTAATACTATAAATACTAGTGTAGGACATCGAAGACTAAATTATTTCTTTTTGTAAATAATAGAAAGATAAGGTGTGATTAATGCAAACGAATGAAAATTAAAGAAGGCATTGAAAGAACACTATTAAGTTAATATTTTATTGATTAAATTATTTTATTATTAAGCCATTGTCACTCACTATAGCTGAACCAGTAATACCTTTCGATTTCTCGCTCGCTACGAACAAAACAAGATCAGCTATTTCTTCAGGATCTGAGACCCTGTTCAACGCAGTCATATCTTGCATTTTGTCGAAAATAACATCTTGCATTTCCTTAGGTGCTCCCATATTTTCAATAATATCCGTTCGAACGGGTCCTGGATTGACCGCATTCACACGAACACCGTGTGGAGCTAGTTCAAGTGCCACAGCTCTAGTAAAGTGATCTAGTCCAGCCTTTGAGGTGCTATACGCGAAACTTCCAGGGATAACTCTCAAACTAGCGATACTCGATATATTCACAATGTTACCTTTTGTATTCACTAGATGTGGTACAGCAAGGTGTGTCAAGACAATAGCTGCACGAAGATTCGTTGCGATTATTTTATCAAAAATTTGAACAGCATCTTCTTTTAGAATATCTGTTGTCCCTCCAATACCGGCATTATTGATCAAAATGTCAATTTGTCCCAAATATCTTATGGTATCTTCGATAATTCTTTTAGCGTCATCATCCTTAGACACGTCAGCAACGATTACTACCGGATTACCGCATTTCTTCGCGACGTTGTTCAGTTTCTCCTGGTTTCTGCCCACTAAGGCTACTTTTGCCCCTTCTGCTGCAAACTTGATGGCAATTGCAGCTCCAATGCCAGAACTAGCGCCTGTTACAATCACTACTTTGTCTTGGAAACTCATGATATTAAAGTCTCACAACTAATGTAAATGTTACACTGGCTTTACTTATACTGTAAAATTAATTTATATAAATGAAACAAGGCAATCTTATCTAGTAATTCATTTTGATACGGCTATCAATTTTTGTTTCATATTAAAATTCTGAATAATAAATGTGTCAAAAACGTTCGATACAGGAAAAAAGAAATCTGTTTGTAAAATTACTTGAAATCTAATTTCTAAAATCGAGTGAGATTGTTTGTGGTAAAGTTTAACATGTAGTTAATAATAACGTTGGTGAGTAGAACCTTGAACCATCCATGTTTAAAATAATCATACAACAACAAAACCATTGAAAAAAATAATCGAAAACATAACATCTCAAAACAAAGTTTGGAATTACAAAACATTACCTACTTAACATTAATTTCAATATCATTCCATTATCACTAACGAAGGACGATCCTGTGATAGCCTGAGACTTATCGCTCGCTGTGAACAAAACTAGATTAGCTATTTCTTCAGATACTGAGACACGGTTCAACGCAGTTAATTCTTGCATTCTGGTGGAAGTTGCATCTTCTACTCCTTTAGTCGCTCCCATATTACCAACAACATCTGTTTTTGGTAATATGGGATAATCACGTTGACACGAACACCGTGTCATTCTAGTTCTAGTACCACAGCTCTTGTGAAGTGATCGAAACCTGCTTTTGAAACACTATCCCCAAAAGGTCGGGCATTACTCTCACACTAACCACACTTGTGATATATATGTACATTGAATAAAAAGAATGTGCTTTCTTTGATAATATACAGACTGCAATATTTATAACTTCTTCAACGTAATAGGCAAGTTAGATAAGAAAGATAATTTTAAAATTATTACATTCAAACACGATAAAATTGTTGTAAATAAACATTTTATTTAAAGTAATATTAACGAAAACTAAAATGATAAATAGTAAGATTAATTAAACTGTGGATATGGCTTCTCGAAATGGGAACTACTGCAAACCTTGGACAACAAAGTGCATCAATGCATCGATTATGGCTCCATTTCGCATAGAAATTCGGTTGTCCACCATATACCAGCAACATATCCTTTTGTACTTTAGCCACACAGTCCACTGGGGCAACGAAACCCTGGAGAAGCTAATTGTAGTTGCGAATTATTATATTTTCTAATCTTAAAAAGACGTCAAATAAAATTGATTCAAGGTTTTAACATCATTCCATTGTCAGTCACAATAGATGATCCTGTAATAGCTTTAGATTTGTCACTGGCTACAAACAAAATTAAATCGGCTACCTCACCGGGTTCTGAAATTCTTGAGAGTGCAGTCCTCGTTCGCATACGATCGAAAGCAGCATCCGACATTTCTTTTGTTGCTCCAGAATTTTCAATTATATCTGTTTTTACAGGTCCGGGATTAATCACATTGACACGAACGCCGTGGGGAGCTAGTTCAAGTGCTACAGCTCTGGTGAAGTGGTCTAAACCTGCTTTAGCTGTGCAGTAAGCAGAAAACTCAGGAATCATGCGATGACCAGCAACGCTTGATATATTCACAATGTTACCTTTTGTTTTCACTATATGTGGTGCAGCGAGGTGCGTCAAAACAATTGCTGAGCGTAGGTTTGTAGATAATATTTTATCATATATTTGTAGAACTCCTTCATCTAGAATATTAGAACTACTACCAATACCAGCGTTGTTTACTAAAATATCAATTTTTCCAAAATTTCTTAAGGTCTTTTCAATAATCCTTTTGGCGTCTTCATCTTTAGTAATATCAGCAGTGATAATTAAGGGATTACCACATTTTTTCGCGATATTGTTTAGTTTCTCTTGGTTCCTGCCCACCAAGGCTACTTTAGCTCCTTCTTCTGCAAACTTGATGGCAGTTGCTGCTCCAATGCCAGAGCTGGCACCAGTCACAATCACTACTTTATTTTGGAAACTCATGATTTGTAATATAGTGTTACAGCCGGTTAACTATTGTTTTTGCAAATTTCAATGTAATATATACTAATGGGTAATCTAAACAAACAGCTTATCTGATTTACCAACGAATTATCCATGGTTGACATAATAAAAAAGAAAGATTATGAACGGATATTAATTTATTATGAACGGATTATATAAAAGGTCGTTCTGGTTTAACTATACACGACAGTTTAGAAAATATATATTATGTAGTATTAAAAGAAGCCAGAAAATTTATGATATATGAATGTCACACATAATATTCTCATAAATGCTACAGCAATAGGCAAATACGTCACCCAAAAGAGACAAAAAGTCATCAACTGAATTTTGAGCCATATTATTATATGACAATTTGTAATCTAAACAATCAAGCACACTGTAACATAGCAAAATTATTTGTCAATTAGCAGATTTGCTAAACATCGTTTAAATTTATAAAGAAGAAGTGCTTTAATGGAATTTGAGACTTTATTATACTTTTCTACATTATAGACCTTATTTCCGATATTTACAGAATACTTTTGTATGAACACATTTAGGGAATGACATTTCAACGCGTTAATAACGCACGTTATGTAACTAAATGTATTTGATATAAGCGAGATTTGTTTTAAGTCGATATATTTGAAAGACTGGAAAAAAATCCATGCGGCATTAAGGCCGCCTTGTGTACACTTCGTGCATAAAGCATTATTAAATAAAAGAACTTGGCATTGTAAAACCGTAGAGCTAAATAACTTACCGGACTATCGAAGAATTTGTATAGGTTTAAAAACAAATTCAGATTTCAATCAAAATATTCAGAACTCTATTCCCATTCCCACATTCCGTATAATATAAATATAACATTTATTATTAAAAGTTTACTTAAAATAATCGTTACTGTCTTCTGAAACTGTAATTTACAAATCTACTGGAGTAAAGTCACTAAGTTTTAACAACATTCCGTTGTCAGTTACAATAGATGATCCTGTGATAGCTTTCGATTTTTCACTGGATGTAAACAACACTAGATCAGCTATCTCCTCAGAATCCGAAACTCTTGAAAGTGCAGTTGCCTTCAGCAAATTATCAAAAGCTGCATCTGCCGCTTCCTTAGTTGCTCCCATATTTTCTATAATATCTGTTTTCACGGGTCCTGGATTGATCACGTTGACACGAACACCGTGTGGTGCTAATTCAAGTGCTACAGCTCTAGTGAAGTGATCCATTCCAGCCTTTGATGTGCTGTACGCAGAATAACCACGAGTCACTCGGTAAGCAGCAACGCTTGATATATTTATAATGTTACCTTTTGTTTTCACAAGATGTGGTGCAGCGAGGTGAGTCAAAACAACAGCTGAGCGTAGATTTGTATTCATTATTTGATCAAAAACTTTGATAACGCCTTCATCTAGTATTTTAGTAACACCTCCTATACCAGCGTTGTTTACCAAAACATCAATCTTCCCGAAACGTTTTATGGTTTCTTCAATGATTCTTTTGGCGTCTTCATCATTTGACACATCAGCAGCGATGATTAAGGGATTTCCGCATTTCTTTGCGACGTTGTTCAGTTTTTCCTGTTTTCTGCCCACTAACGCTACGTTAGCTCCTTCTTCTGCAAATTTGATGGCAGTGGCCGCTCCAATGCCAGAACTGGCGCCGGTCACAATTACTACTTTGTCTTGGAAACTCATGGTGAAACCAGTTTGCAGTGATTGTAAAATTCAAACTGTTATTTGTCACTTGCTTCATGTAATTTATACAAGGGAGTTATCTAATCTGACAACATATCAAATATTATAATAAAAACCACCCGTCATTGTTAATCTTCTTTTTTTAAAATTGTATTTGATACTATAATCACTGCACGAAGTGCTTTCGAGGTGGTTCAGTAGTAAAAATGTAAATTCAATATTATAGTCTGGAAGTTTAGCAAGAGTTTTCCTATTCTTTGCACAGCCCAACTGCACTGTATGTATGATAAACGATTTTGATATGTTCACAATTGTATGTACATATTATCAAAATCGGTGTCGATTGCTACGGTTAAATAATCTGATGATTTATCAACTAAATTGTATACCGTAAGCAAACTTGGGTAACGTAGGCACCATTAGAGGTTTATGGAAGTAAATTCAAACAGTCGCTTTCATGCAAGGCACATTTGTAAATCTTTTATTTTAATGATTTAATTTAGTCAAATTTAGTTTTAGACTCAGTGCTGACTCTAACCTCCAGTAGATTAGTTGGAGAATCTGTGAGTTCTACAGGTGCTAATTAACAAAAGAGAATCAAATATATTAATTTTGGTCATAAACGGAATCACGAAACTATACACATGAATGAGTACACAATTTAGAGGTATTTTCGCTAAAATCTAAAGTTTAATCATAATAACAAAAATTTATCACTACCCTTATGTTTATATTAGATACACAGAGTTAACGCGTACACATTTAAACAGGGATATGTCATCAATTTTATTTCAACAACATTCCGTTGTCAGTTACAATAGATGATCCTGTGATGATAGCCTTAGACTTGTCACTGGCTGTAAACAAAATCAGATCGGCTACCTCCTCAGGTTCCGAAACTCTTGAGAGTGCAGTCAGAGTTTTCATACTATCGAAGCTTGCTGTCGCCTCTTCCTTCGATACTCCCGTAGTATTTTCAATAATATCTGTTCTTACAGGGCCTGGATTAATGACGTTGACTCGAACACCGTGTGGGGCTAGTTCAAGTGCCACAGTTCTAGTGAAGTGATCTAATCCAGCTTTTGATGCACAGTATGCGGAACTTTCGGGAATTATAACTCGATAAGCAGCGACGCTTGATATGTTTACAATATTACCTTTTGTTTTCACCAAATGAGGTGCAGCGAGGTGGGTCAACACAACCATTGCGCGTAGGTTTGTATTCATTATTCGATCAAAAATTTGAATGTAGCTTTTATCTTGAATATTGGTTCTACTTCCTGTACCAGCATTGTTTATTAAAATATCAATCTTTGCAAAATGTCTTACGGTCTCTTCAATAATTCTTTTGGCGTCTTCATCTTTAGTAATGTCAGCAGCGATAATTAACGGATTACCACATTTCTTTGCGACGTTGTTCAGTTTCTCCTGGTTTCTGCCCACTAAGGCTACTTTAGCTCCTTCTTCTGCAAACTTGATTGCAGCGGCTGCTCCAATGCCAGAACTGGCACCAATGACGACAACTACTTTGTCTTGGAAACTCATGGCGTTATGTTATGTTGCAACTATTTTCTGTTTCCGTTTTCATGTATTTTATATACTAATGAGTAATCTAATCGAACGAATAATCTAATCCTGAATGAAAAACTAAGAATCATTCTTATTTTTTCTTTTTCAATTGTCATTTAAGATAATATCTATAGGAATGTCTCAATGCAATAAAATCTACTGATATCGGAATATTTATCAAAAGATAATTCTTTAAGATTTCCTGCCTAAACCGGAACTACAAGGAAGCAATATTTTCTTAATGGTGATTGCTGTGCAACATTGACATGTGCGACTTATAAGTCGACAAAACTGACTGCTTTTCTAAATATTTTGTGATTTCTGTCGCCATTTGTAGCCATGCAAGGTGTTAAATACTACCCTCAGCTATCCTTATTCATATCTAGCAACAACTTTGATAATTGTTGCAGCTAGTAGTTGTCTAAAAATTACACAAATACATAATTTGTAAGTATTTTTTTTATCGTATAGGAGGCAAACGAGCAGTCGGATCACCTGATGGTAAGCGATCAGCGCCGCTCAAGGACACCCGTAACACCAAAGAAGTCACAGGTGCGTTGCCGGTGTTTTAAAAAGAAATACGCTTTTTTCTTTAAGTTTTGAAGGTCGTATCGGTTTGGAAATACCGCCGAGGACAGATCATTCTACAGTTTTACTGTGCAAGGCAGAAAGCTACGCGAGAAGTGCACAGTTGTGGCCTGCCAACCATCTATGTGATCGGGATGCATATGCTGCCATGAGTGTCGATGGCGACAAGATGCAGCAGGTATCAGGTGAAACAATTCCTCAGAGCACTCCCGTGGTTTAAGCGATAGAAAGTGCACAACGAAGCTACATCTCTACTAATAGCCAGGGTGTCTAGCCGGTTTGAAACATCCCAACATCCAACAATCCGAATGGCAGGCCGTTGAACGCGGTCCAGAGGAAGAAGCTGGTATTGGGGTGCCACCGCCCAAAGATGAGAAAAGTATTCCATTTGGGGCCAAGCCTGCGCCTTATATAGGAGCAGGTGGTGGGCCAGGATAAAATACTGCCTCGATCTATTGAGCACACCAAGCTTCCTCGAGGCTAATTTGGTCTTATCCTCTAGATGACCACAAAACTGGACGTCACTCGAAATGCTGACACCAACTATTTCAGTAACGGCTGAGGCAGTTAGTGGGGTGCTTTGAAACTTAGGAGAAACGACCAATGGCAGTTTCTTAGCGGTTACAAATGTAATGTCTATATTTAATAATATTTTTTATACATCGTGTTTGATTTATGACGCTTACGAATCTATTGGGGACATGCCATTATTTTTAACATCGTTCAACATAAAAAAATTAGATTGGCTACCCCGTCAACCTGAATGAAAAATTAAGAATCAATCTTATTTCTTCTTTTTCAATTGTCATCCAAGATAATATCTATAGAAATGTCTCAATACAATAAAATCCACAGATATCGGAATATTTATCAATAGATAGTGCTTCAAGTTTTCACAACTACATCGGAAATACAAGAAAGCAACATGATTTTTATTATGGTGATTGCTGCGCAACATTGACATATGCGACTTCGAAGTCGACAATAGTGACTGCCTTTCTAGATATTTTGTGATTTTATTCGCCATTTGTAGCCATGCAAGGTGCTGAACACTACTCTCAGCTATCTATATGATAACCTTACCTAATCATATCTATTCTAACAACTTTGATAATTGTTGCGGCTAGTAGCAGTCAAAAATTGGACAAATAAAACATTTTTAAGTATTAAAAATGGAAAATTTATTCATAATAATATTAGTCAAGGGGCGACATGTCATTAGTTTTCAACATCGTTCCATTGTCAGTTACAATAGATGATCCTGTGATAGCCTTAGATTTCTCACTGGCTATAAACAAAATCAGATCGGCTATCTCGTCAGAATCCGAAACCCTTGAAAGTGCAGTCGCTTTTAGCATATCATCAAAAGCTGCTTCTGCCGCTTCCTTAGTTGCTCCCATATTTTCTATAATATCTGTTTTCACGGGTCCTGGATTGATCACGTTGACACGAACGCCGTGTGGTGCTAATTCAAGTGCTACAGCTCTAGTGAAGTGATCCATTCCAGCCTTTGATGTGCTGTACGCAGTAAAACCAGGAGCAACTCGGTAAGCAGCAACGCTTGATATATTCAGAATGTTGCCTTTTGTTTTTACAAGATGTGGTGCAGCGAGGTGAGTCAAAACAACAGCTGAGCGTAGATTTGTATTCATTATTTGATCAAAAACTTTGATAACGCCTTCATCTAGTATTTTAGTAACACCTCCTATACCAGCGTTGTTTACCAAAACATCAATCTTTTCGAAACGTTTTATGGTTTCATCAATGATTCTTTTGGCGTCTTCATCTTTTGACACATCAGCAGCGATGATTAAGGGATTTCCGCATTTCTTTGCGACGTTGTTCAGTTTTTCCTGATTTCTGCCCACTAACGCTACTTTAGCTCCTTCTTCTGCAAATTTGATGGCAGTGGCTGCTCCAATACCAGAACTGGCGCCGGTCACGATTACTACTTTGTCTTGGAAACTCATTGTATAACGAGTTTATAGTGATTTTAAACTTCAAACTATTAAATGTTATCACTTGTTTCATGTATTATATACACAAATGAATTATCTAATCTGACAACTTATCTAATCTTATAATAAAAACGACTCGTCATTATTAGTCTACTTTTTTTTAATATAGTAGTTGACACTATAATCACTGCTCGAAGTGCTTTTGAGGTAGTTCAGTAGTAAAATTGTAAATTCAGTATTATAGTCTGGAAGTTTAGCAATAGTCATCCTATTCTTTGCACAGCCCAACTGCACTGCATACAGTGTATGATAACCGAGCGCAATATTGTACATATCAAAATTGGTGTCGATTGCTACGGTGAAACGATCTGACGATTTATCAACTAATTTGTTTATCGTAAGCAAACTTGGATAATGTAGGCACCATCTGAGGTTTGTGGAGAGTAAATTCAAACAGTCGCTTTAATGTAAGGCTCTTTTTTTGTTAATGTAAGACATTTTTTGAATGATTTAATTTAGTCAAATTTAGTTTAAGACTCAGTGCTGACTCTAACCTACTGGAGCTGGAGAATTTGTGAGTTCTACAGCTACCGGTAATTAACAAAAGAGTATCAAATAGTTTAAAGTAATTAATAACTTGGATCATAAACGGAATCACGAAACTATACACATGAATGAGTACACAATTTATTTTCGCTAAAATCTAAAGTTTAATCACAATAACAAAAATTTATCACTGCCCTTATGTTTGTATTAGATACACAGAGTTAACGCGTACACATTTAAACAGGGATATGTCATCAATTTTATTTCAACAACATTCCGTTGTCAGTTACAATAGATGATCCTGTGATAGCCTTAGACTTGTCACTGGCTGTAAACAAAATCAGATCGGCTACCTCCTCAGGTTCTGAAACTCTTGAGAGTGCAGTCAGAGTTTTCATACTATCGAAGCTTGCTGTCGCCTCTTCCTTCGATACTCCCGTAGTATTTTCAATAATATCTGTTCTTACAGGTCCTGGATTAATGACGTTGACTCGAATACCGTGTGGGACTAGTTCAAGTGCCACAGCTCTAGTGAAGTGATCTAATCCAGCTTTTGATGCACAGTATGCGGAACTTTCGGGAATTATAACTCGATAAGCAGCGACGCTTGATATGTTTACAATATTACCTTTTGTTTTCACCAAATGAGGTGCAGCGAGGTGGGTCAACACAACCATTGCGCGTAGGTTTGTATTCATTATTCGATCAAAAATTTGAATATAGCTTTTATCTTCAATATTGGTTCTACTTCCTGTACCAGCATTGTTTATTAAAATATCAATCTTTGCAAAATGTCTTACGGTCTCTTCAATAAATCTTTTGGCGTCTTCATCTTTAGTAATGTCAGCAGCGATAATTAACGGATTACCACATTTCTTTGCGACGTTCAGTTTCTCCTGGTTTCTGCCCACTAAGGCTACTTTAGCTCCTTCTTCTGCAAACTTGATTGCAGTGGCTGCTCCAATGCCAGAACTGGCACCAACGACTATAACTAATTTGTCTTAGAAACTCGTTGTGTTATGCTATGTTCGAAATTCTCACTGAAAGGGAAGTTTCCAGGGTTGCACCTATTCCCAAAACCCAAAATGAAGACTGTTAAAGAATATCGCCCTATGGCAATCCTGTCAACCTGAATGAAAAATTAAAAATCAATCTTATTTCTTCTTTTTCAATTGTCATCCAAGATAATATCTATAGAAATGTCTCAATACAATAAAATCCACTGATATCGGAATATTTATCAATAGATAGTGCTTCAAGATTTCATAACTCCATCGGAAATACAAGAAAGCAACATGATTTTTATTATGGTGATTGCTGCGCAACATTGACATGTGCGGCTTCGAAGTCGACAATAGTGACTGCCTTTCTAGATATTTTGTGATTTTATTCGCCATTTGTAGCCATGCAAGGTGCTGAACACTACTCTCAGCTATCTTTATGATAACCTTACCTAATCATATCTATTATAACAACTTTGATAATTGTTGCGGCTAGTAGCAGTCTAAAAATTGGACAAATAAAACATTTTTAAGTATTAAAAATGAAAAGTTTATTCATAATAATATTAGTCAAGGGGGGACATGCCATTAGTTTTCAACATCGTTCCATTGTCTGTTACAATAGATGATCCTGTGATAGCCTTGGATTTCTCACTGGCTATAAACAAAATCAGATCGGCTACCTCGTCAGAATCTGATACTCTTGAGAGAGCAGTCATTTCTTTCATGCGATTGAAAGTTGCTTCTGCTACTTCCTTCGTTGCTCCCATATTTTCAATAATATCTGTTTTTACAGGTCCGGGATTGATCACGTTGACGCGAACACCGTGTGGGGCTAGTTCAAGTGCCACAGCTCTAGTGAAGTGATCTAGTCCAGCCTTTGACGTGCAGTATGCGAAATTGTCTTGAAATACGCGATACCCAGCAACACTTGATATATTCACAATGTTACCTTTTGTTTTTATTATATGTGGAGCAGCGAGGTGAGTCAGGACAACTACTGCTCGTAGGTTTGTAGACATTATTCGATCATAAACTGATATAACACCATTATCTTGAATGTTTGTTCTACTTCCTATACCAGCGTTGTTTACCAAAACATCGATTCCTCCAAAATACCTTAAGGTTTCTTCAATAACTCTCTTGGCGTCTTCATCTTTTGACACATCAGCAGCGATAATTAAGGGGTTACCGCATTTCTTCGCGACGTTGTTAAGTTTTTCTTGGTTTCTGCCCACTAACGCTACCTTAGCTCCTTCTTCTGCAAATTTGATGGCTGTTGCTGCTCCAATGCCAGAACTGGCGCCGGTCACAATTACTACTTTGTCTTGGAAACTCATGATCACACATCGACTGTAGATGTTTATGTGAATGTCTCAATTTGTCGCACGTAATTTATACTGGTAATCTAATCTAATCATATCTATTATTAACTTATTATCATTATGACAACTTACTTTATAAAATATGAATAGCGAATATTGGTTTGGAATGTGGGCTTTTTATTTAAAAGGGCATCGAAACTCGTACTATTGTGGCAGTGTCTTTAAAATCTGCAATGGACCAGTGGGTACTGGTGAACAAAATGATGAATCATTTTTGTTCGTCGTGTGATGTGATTTGGTTAATAAAATAGCTGTCTACACTGTTATTTGTTTGTTTGAACTGAATAGTCTCCGAAACTACCGGACCATAGTAGAGTATACTCAATAAGATAAAAGAGAACTGTGTAAAAATTATGAAAATATAGCCCGATGTGTGATAAACTAGGTACTAAAGGTCTCCTTATATTGTTTAAAGCTTCGACGGCCAAAATTGTTTTCAGGGAATAATAGTATTTAGCTGCATCAGGATCAGGGATCATTTTTAGGAATAAATGCAACAAACATAACATCACGCCTTTTATCCCCGAAGAGGTAGGCAGATGTACATATTACGGCACTTCATGTCATTGTACAATTTAACACCCACTTTTCACTATTCATGTTATGAGTCCCATGTAATAGGGGGTGAGCCTATTGCCATATGCCGGGCACAATTCCAGGCTCTGTGGTACCACTGATATTTTTGTTCTTGAAAACCCAGTAGTACTTTGCCTGACTCGGGAATCGAACCCGAGACCCGGCAGTCGCACTTGCGACCACTCGGCTAATGAGGCCGTCCTCTAACCTATTACTAGAAGTGTAAGTTACAACGTACGACCAGTAAAAGTTATTTTTTGCTTTTTATTTTTTTTTGCTTTGTCGTTTTTTCTAAACGCAGTTAATATTTATTTTATATTTTTTAGTTTAGTGTTCATATTATGTACAACTCACATCGGTGCACAGTTTTCACCGATACAAATTATTCAAGCTCAACCAGGTAGCTACTACCATTGAGGAGTTCCCTTAGCTATCATATTAGTTCATCATTGGATCTTTAATGACAACCACACCCTATCTAAGTGTAAAGTCCACATAAATACAAATTACCAAACCCATACACAAGCTAGCTACTGGTAACCGCTGAGGAGTTCCCTGAACTATCGTATTACTTCGTCATGAGAAGTGTAAAGTTCTCATCAAAACAAATAATTTAAGCCCAAATACAGGATCACAGGTGCAAATTCTCGAGGAGTTTCTTCGACTGACTCCCGGCTCCATCATCAGATCGACTCCGGATCTGCATCAGATTAAAGTGGTTTTAAATACTTAATAATAAGAAACGCACAAGTCGTCCTTATAATTTTTAACAGTTTCCCTCGGTTTCCCCGAGATTCCATCATCCGATCCTGACCTAATGACAATATAACCAAATGACGAGCGGCGTACCCTTTCAAATAAAATAAGAATTCTTGAAATCGGTCCAGTATTAGAGAAATCGATTAACAAACATAAAAAAAATACTGTCGAATTGAAAACCTCCTCCTTTTTTGAAGTCGGTTAAAAATTATAAATTTTGCCAGATATCAGGATTAAATAAAACAGTTTTAAGTATTAAAAATGGAAAGTTTATTCATAATGATATTAGTCAAGGGGCGACATGTCATTAGTTTTCAACATCGTGCCATTGTCAGTTACAATAGATGATCCTGTGATAGCCTTAGATTTGTCACTGGCTATAAACAAAATCAGATCGGCTACCTCGTCAGAATCTGAAACTCTTGAGAGTGCAGTCATTTTTCCCATGCGATCGAAAGTTGCATCTGCTATTTCCTTCGTTGCTCCCATATTTTCTATAATATCTGTTTTTACAGGTCCGGGATTGATCACGTTGACGCGAACACCGTGTGGAGCTAGTTCAAGTGCCACAGCCCTAGTGAAGTGATCTAGTCCAGCCTTTGACGTGCAGTATGCGAAACTTTCTTGAAATACGCGATACCCAGCGACACTTGATATATTCACAATGTTACCTTTTGTTTTTATTATGTGTGGAGCAGCGAGGTGAGTCAGGACAACTACTGCTCGTAGGTTTGTAGACATTAATCGATCATAAACTGATATTACACCGTTATCTTGAATGTTTGTTCTACTTCCTATACCAGCGTTGTTTACCAAAACATCGATCCCTCCAAAATACCTTAAGGTTTCTTCAATAACTCTCTTGGCGTCTTCATCTTTCGATACGTCAGCAGCGATAATTAAAGGGTTACCGCATTTCTTCGCGACGTTGTTGAGTTTTTCTTGGTTTCTGCCCACTAACGCTACTTTAGCTCCTTCTTCTGCAAATTTGATAGCAGTGGCTGCTCCAATGCCAGAACTGGCGCCGGTCACAATTACTACTTTGTCTTGGAAACTCATGATCACACAAAGACTGTAAATGTTTATGTGAATGTCTTAATTCGTCGCACGTAATTTATATTGGTAATCTAATCTAATCATATCTATTATTAAGTAATTGTCATTATAACTACTTACTATATACCTAAGATATAAAGAGCAAATATTGGTTTGGAAAGTGGGTTTGTTATTTAAAGAACTTTGTAACCAAGTATCATTATAACCTGCAATCGACTCACTCGTCGTCGCGTGATGTGATTTTATGTGCTTAAAAAAAAACGAGAAATATTAAGATTAAACTGTCAAACACGGCGAGGACACCGGTGACCGCAACCTATTGTTCTTTCATTGTGTCTATAATGACGGTAATCAAAGAGTTAAATGCAATTTCAGAGTTGACTGTGAATTAATAATAATTGCAAAAATATTACACTTAATCAATTAATTGAGGCTGTCGCTGTGTCTTGGCCACCTGCAACACCAGTGGTGTTCAAAGTGCATTGGGTATTGGGAATTTAGAGATTTTGAATTGGGGTTAATTGGAATAATGGGGTAACATTAACTTTACTGACACGGCAAAATGCGTTGCCAGCGTTTCTCACGCCACGCGCCGGTTTTCTGTGACGCTGAGGTGCCCGGGTCGATCCAGCTCATTGAGCAACATGACTCCCAAATGTGAGGCTGTATGTAGAACAATAAAAAATCACTCGATAATTGACATCGCTTGTTATAGGTATTCATAAGTTTCAATAAACTACATTTTACAAAAGCAACTACAATCTCAATTTTTTTGGAAGTCTGTTAATATACCAAAAGCTGCACTTAAGTTGGTTCAAATTAAAATTGGTTCAGTCGATCGTGACCATACTTACATACGGATCAAACTAAAAACATACCCGTTTTTTAAGTCAGTTAATTTTTTTTTATATTTTATGGGCCGACGTTTGACCAATATGTCTTGACAAATTATTACTGGTTTGTTTAATTCTCACCAGTAGCGCGGAGTCCGGTATATGGCAATAGGCTCACCCCCTATTACGTGGCATTCATAACATAAATAGTGAAAAGTGGGTGTTACATTGTAGGTACAGTGGGAGTAAATGCTGTAATGTGCACCTCTGCCTACCTATCGGTAAAAGGAAGTGATTTTACCTCTATGTGATCAATCTGGAGATGACGCAAACAAATATGCTACGTATACTGTATGACCAATGGATGTAGAAACGTTACAATTAACTTGCTTTAATATAATTATTGCCTTACAATTTGATACACAGATAACAACATCAAATCTCGGCTAGTAACAAGTGCTAAGCTATGTTATGCAAGTATAGAACTTTATTATATTTTTTACTTCACACAGGACGATGCGCGATGACCCGGCAAACATCGTACCGCCTAAAAATATTCTCATCTTTTGAACCTTCCCTGGACTTCTACGAAAATTTCAGGACTAGAACGTTTCAGGTGCCCAGGTTTATGGCTTGTTCCACCTGTGGTTATATCAGCTACTTACTTACAGTCTAGCCCTGTTTGTCTGAGAGAGATCTAGGTACATACGTGCCATTTACTGTGTCCTGTGAGTTTGTTAGCCTGTGTACAAGTAATTTATAGAGTTATGCAAGTATTAAGAAAGCATTGTGTACTCTCTTTGGTCGAGTCGAGTGATTATATTATCAGTGTCACCGAAGAGCAAAGGATATTGCATCATGCAATATCCTTTGCTCGGCAGGGCCGGATTTAGGGGTCCAGAGGCCTCGGGGCAATAAAGGAGTGGAGGCCCCCTTGCCCCAAATTATTTTCCAGATTGAGATCGAGGACGCTCGCTTGATTTCGAGGACGCTCGAAAACGATCGAGGACGCTCGATTGATTTCGAGGACGCTCGATTGATTTCGAGGACGCTCGATTGATTTCGAGGACGCTCGATTGATTTCGAGGACGCTCGATAGATTTCGAGGACGCCCGATAGATTTCGAGGACGCTCTAAAACGATCGAGGACTCTCGATAGATTTCGAGGACGCTCGATTGATTTCGAGGACGCCCGATAGATTTCGAGGACGCTCTAAAACGATCGAGGACTCTCGATAGATTTCGAGGACGCTCGAAAACAATCAAGGATGCTCGCAAACGATCGAGGACGCCCTATAGATTTCGAGGACGCTCGAAAACAATCGAGGACGCTCGAAAACGATCGAGAACTCTCGATAGATTTCGAGGACGCTCGAAAACAATTGAGGACGCTCGATAGATTTCGAGGACGCTCGATAGATTTCGAGGACGCCCGATAGATTTCGAGGACGCTCGAAAACGATCGAGGACTCTCGATAGATTTCGAGGACGCTCGAAAACAATCGAGGACGCTCGAAAACGATCGAGGATGCTCGATAGATTTCGAGGACGCTCGACAGATTTCGAGTTTAAGAATTGAAGAATACCAATTGTTCACATACTGCAATTAATTTTTTTAATAGTCAAAGTCAAAGTCAAGTCAAAGTCAAAATCATTTATTTCAATTAGGCCAGAATGGCACTTTTGAACGTCAACAAAAACAAAAATTTAAGTGAAGCTATTTGCTCATTCCAAGGCGTAGATTCCTATGGAGAAGAACGAGCAAGAAACTCCATAGGTTACTCTTTTTCAATCAGGTTCACAATACAATTTACTAGTTACATAGTTTTGCTGTTTGGATTGTGCGAGAACAATGTAACACTAAAATCCAGTCAAAGTGATCAAAAAAGAAAATAACCTTAAGGACAGTAATACAGTCTGGAGCTGACCAGTCCCAGTTGACGGCGCCCGTTCACGAACATGACACGTACACCAGCACCGCCCAACTCAACCATATTGTAGGGAATCGAGCGATCCACTGCACGCGCCACCGCCAATGAGACCTTTGAGTGAGCATGACAACTCCAAGCTGACACAAATGAAATCTACTAATCTAATTTAATATTAAGTTAATTACAGGGCTCTCACATTTACAATGGTTATCTAAGTTAAACAATATACAATTTAGCAATATGGCTGTATTATTTACGATTTCATTAAAACAAGTGTTTTTAGTTATCCTGTGGAGCCGGACTAGCCTGCATCCAAGCATTTTTATCCTCTATATATTCATTAAGTTTGTAATATGCTTGTCTACATAAAGTTTTCTTTATACATAATTTAAATTTCGATTCATTTAGTTGTTGTACATCGCCTGGTATCTTATTATAACATTTAACACAGAATCCCATGAACGACTTACTTACTTTCGCTAATCTCGAAATTGGCTGACTTAATCTATTCTTATGTCTAGTTTGATAGTGGTGTCTGTCCGACACTTTACCAAATAACTGTAAGTTTTTCCTAACATACATAATGTTTTCATAAATAAATTGACATGGAACGGTCATAATGTTGATCTCCTTAAACCTTTCTCTGAGTGATTCGCGACGACCTAGATTGTAGATAGCTCTGACGGCGCGCTTTTGTAAGATAAAGATAGATTCAATGTCAGCAGCGTGTCCCCACAGCAAGATGCCATACGACATAATGATATGAAAGTAACTGAAATACACTAGTCTTGCCGTGTCTATGTCAGTTAACTGTCGTATCTTCCAGACAGCATAAGCTGCAGAGCTCAATCGTCCCGCTAATGATGTAATGTGAGGACCCCATTGCAATTTGTCGTCTACAGTAATTCCCAGGAAAGTTGTCTCTTTTACAAACTCTAATTTCTCACCATTCAATAATATGTCACAATCGTTGCTTTTAACATTTGGCAAAACAAATTTAATACATTTTGTCTTTTTATTGTTTAGTACTAAGTTATTTAATGTAAACCAATTATGAACTTTCATTAGGGCATTATTTACGTCGTCATAACTATTTGTGCGTCTATTAATTTTAAAAACTAATGAAGTGTCATCAGCAAATAATACCATCTGCGGTTCATTTTTAAATAAATGGGGCAAGTCATTTATGTACGCTAAGTCGAGACACGGAATCGAATAGCCAACCTCCGAGGTTGCGGGCAAGTACCATCCCACTGAGCCATTGAGCCATTGGGGTACTCCCTCAAGATGGGTAGTAAATTGGAAGTGCTTATCAGAGCCATTTGAGATTTTGATATTTCACTGATTGCCTGATTGGAGTGAACAAATATAGATCAATGATTTCTCTTTCTGTTAATATTTAAAATTAATATAATCAAATAATCATGTATGTATAAAGTACTTTAGGCTGTAGGTAAAGGTAAAAGCGAAAAAAAATATCAAAGAAAAGATGTTTACTAGGTTTACTAGTTGAAATTTGAAAGATTTTTTTTTTCCGAAGTCTCTATTGTGGAGGCCCCCTGCTTGTGGAGGCTTTCGCCCCGGTTGCCCCCCCCTAAATCCGGCAGCATAGGAGCCAACTAGTATACATGGATATCATCGGGATCGGCATTTCGACTTTCATGTCACAAAAAGTAGAAATATTTATTTAAAAGAGGTTACAAAATAATACGATTAACGAACATAAAACCATTTTATTTGTATGCAAAATATTATTTATATACAATATTCACTTAATACTTAATTACGTCCATAGTACGTTATTTGTGGACAATATATATTTTACACAGGAAAATACAATGAAGAAGGTACACATTTAAGTTAAGTTCTTAATACTTTATGCGGTACGTAACGGTTATCCAGACATTGTAAAACAGGTTCTTAGAATTAATCTTGTGGAGATACGATATTACTCTTCAAGATCATTCCATTGTCAGTTACAACTGTTGATCCAGTCATGGCCTGAGCTTTGTCACTAGCTAAATACATAATTAGATCGGCTACTTCCTCAGGTTCCGAAATTCTATCAAGCGGAGTTATTTTGTGCATTTGGCTGTAAGTAGCATCGGCGATTTCCTTCGGTGCTCCCATGTTCTCTACTATGTCCGTTCGAACAGGTCCTGGATTAACCACGTTTACGCGAACACCGCTTGCGGCTAGTTCAAGGGCAACAGCTCTGCTGAAGTGATCGAGTGCAGCC